CCTTAGTGTTCAAAAGTCAGAGATAGATTTAAGGTTTTTATTTTTCTTTCCCGTTCATACTGCCAAGTGATTTAATTTAAAAGCTTTTATTTCTCTTTATCGATGGAAATGTTTATTTTTATTTTTTCATTTTTTTTGTCTTTTTTCCGTGTCCGGCAACGGATCGCAACCCTCAGTGTTGCCCCCGTACCGGACCGGGACCAGCAACGGGATCGCAACCCTCGGCGTTGCTCCCGCGCCTCGCTCAGCCAGTGAGCGGGAACCGGTCTGCATGTGGGATCCGAACCCTCGGCGGGAGCGCCGCCGCACTTCCCAAGAGGCGCACTAGCGCAGTGCGCCACCGGGCCAGCCCGAAATGTTTATTTTTTAAAAATTTCTTTCCTTGTAATATTTCTGCCTTCTCTTTCTAGAATCTGGTATATATTAGACTTCTTGGATCAGTCCTCTAACTTTAAAAGTTAAAGTCTTTTAATTTTTTTCTCATATGTTCTATCTCCTTGATGTTTTTATTCTACATTTTTAAAGATTTTCCTAACTTTACCTCCCAACCCCTCTATTTTATCAATTGTAATATCCTAGAGCTCTTACTTTCCATATATTCATTTATCACAACATGCACTTGTTCTATAGTTGTCAAATCTTACATTTCTCTGGGTATACTAAAGACAGTTTTGTGTTTTAAGTTTTCCTCTACATCTTAAATTATCTTTGGGTCTTAATGAATCAATCTTTTTTAAAAAAAATCTTGGTCTTTTTCTTTCGAGTTACAGGTATTTAATCAAATGTCTTGTAATCTTTGGTTTCCTGTTCATATTTTCATATGAAACAATCGAAGGGCTGGCGTAATCTTAATGCTCTCAGTAGAGCTTGTCAACTAACAGGAAGTTTTTTTAATGGAGAGCAGACAGGCACGAGAGTCTTATTCTGGATTGCTAACCCTTAATCTAAATGCCAAAATGTAGAGAGCTACACTCTCAGGCAACAAAAGCTATACTAGCCAATGAATTCTCTTTGTTTTGTCTTGTTTTTCAGTTTCTTTTTAAAAAAACCCACTCACCCTGTTTTTGTTTTTCTTAGGGTGGAGGTGGCATTTGGTAAATATGTACTTGCCTCTCTCTCTGAGGGGTAGAGGAAGGTGGCAGAAGGAGGTACAGACTATTACACAGCAATTAATTCCTTTGTTTTCAATATCACCAGTTTCCATTCTCTATCCTCCATTTCATCATATTCTTCTCCACTGATTTAATCTATTTCATTCCTTCTTCTGTACTCTAGAACAGCTTTTCTTTTTTTTTCCTTTTTTTTTTTTTTTTTTTTTTTTTTTTTTTTTCCTTTTTTTTTTTTTTTCCTTTTTTTTTTTTTTTCCGTGTCCGGAAACAAATCGCAACCCTCAGTGTTGCCCCCGCACCGGACCAGGGACCGGCAACAGGACTGCAACCCTCGGCGTTGCTCCCGCGCCTCGCTCAGCCAGTGAGCGGGAACGGGTCTGTATGTGGGCCCCGCCCCCGGGGGGGGGGCCCCCCCGCGCTCCCAAGTGGCGCCCTGTAGCAGTGCGCCACCGGGCCGGCCCTAGAACAGCTTTTCTTTTTTTTTCCTTTTTTTTTTTTTTTCCGTGTCCGGAAACAAATCGCAACCCTCAGTGTTGCCCCCGCACCGGACCAGGGACCGGCAACAGGACTGCAACCCTCGGCGTTGCTCCCGCGCCTCGCTCAGCCAGTGAGCGGGAACGGGTCTGTATGTGGGCCCCGCCCCCGGGGGGGGGGCCCCCCCGCGCTCCCAAGTGGCGCCCTGTAGCAGTGCGCCACCGGGCCGGCCCTAGAACAGCTTTTCTTTTTTTTTCCTTTTTTTTTTTTTTTCCGTGTCCGGAAACAAATCGCAACCCTCAGTGTTGCCCCCGCACCGGACCAGGGACCGGCAACAGGACTGCAACCCTCGGCGTTGCTCCCGCGCCTCGCTCAGCCAGTGAGCGGGAACCGGTCTGTATGTGGGATCCGACCCCTCGGGCGGGAGCGCCGCCGCGCTTCCCAAGCAGCGCACTATCCAGTGCGCCACCGGGCCGGCCCCCCAAACTTCATTCTTAAAAAAGTAGGGAAAAAAAGGTATTTTTCTCAATTTTTATTTCATTTCCTGGAGAAAATCTTTTAAATAAGCACACTGACCTGTCCCTATATGTAATATGCTATGTTCTTATATTTTATTGAATCTTTTCATAATTCTTATTTCTACCCTTCAATGTGCAGATCTTATGTTTGTCTATAAACATAAGTCATCAGATCATCAGAATGCAATAAAGAGGATACTGACAGAGCCATCTATAGGCCAAACTGCTCCATACCTTAAAGGACTAGCAAGAACAGGGTAAAGAAGAGTCCTGAGGTAGGGGAGAAAGGAAAGTATCTGAGAGAAATGAAAATTAGCAGCTACAGAGAAGAGCAGGATCTGGAGAAAGGAACCTTGAAAGAAGACTTAATAGAACTCTTACTACATGATATATGCTGTTTCTGCCTCATGGTCCATCCCAACCCCTAAAAACACCACCCTACAGTAAAGATCTATATAACCTTTCAAAGGGTTTTCTGGGAGGGGATTTTGTTATTTTTAAATGTGAGTTCATGGTGTGATATACCTTAAGGCAGGAGCCAGAAAGTCTATCTCACTTGCATCAACTATGCAGCCTCCCAGTGCACTGCTTTCTGGTGAGATTCTAGCTGCAGCCCAGGGGTTAGGGGCACAGGCTCTGAAGCCAGACCATCCAGACCTGTCCCCAGCCCTGCCACTCGCTAGCTCCGCGACTCTGAGAAACTCATTTAACTTTTCTGTAAAACAGGGATATTAAATAGTACCTACCTAAAAGGTAGGTACTGTAAGAATTAAATTGGTCAATTCACAGGAAGTGCTTAGAACAGTTCCTGGCACTCTATAAATGCCTAATTCATATAATTAATTAAAAATAAATATTACCATTATTGTAAAAATGTTAAGCTTCCTCTACCCCTATGGACTGCCTCCCTTCAGGATCCTACTCTTTTAAATTAGAGAGCATTACTTCCTGTCAGGGGCAGCTTCCATAGCCTTGCTGATATTCTGCTACTACTAGTCAACGTGAGAATACTGTGGTTTTGGAGCAGGAAAAGTGGAGTCCAGGTGGTATGCTTCCCTTCAGCCTTACAGCTCATCCTGCTCCACATTAAAGGGTGTGTTGTGGTTTTGCCAGGCAAGCATCTAATCATTTCCTAGGGACACTAGTACTTCTCAGAAAGAGTGCTAGAAATTAGGCCTGTGCCTTGCTTCTAAAGGTCCCACTTTCTCTCTCTCTCTAACAGCATGCTCCTATTTCTAGCATAACAATGCTCCCCCTCCTTGGTTTCCTGTACTGGGGGCAGGTCATTTCAGTAAGGATCCTATGGAGGCACATGGATGTCTGTGGTTGTGCAGCTAACTTAACAGGCCATTCTCCCTAATCTGTACTCTGGACAACCCCCACTCCCAGACTCACTCATTAATTCACTTAAATATTTATTGGTCACCTCCTAGATGCAAGGAATACGAAATAAAAGACATTGTTCTTACTACAATACTAACCCTTCCATTCCTCTAGTATATAGTACTTACACAAAATTGTGCACTGTACCTTTCATTGTTCTTGAGTTTGAGATAGCAACACCACCACCAAAAAGGCTCTGTTTTTGTACTCAAGGAGCTTCCAGTCCAGAGACAAGGATGCATGGGTGGGTGAGTGGGGATGTGTGACAAATGTATACTAATAGGACAATAAAAGTTGTAACAGGAGTTATCCTAGGGTGCTACAGAAGTAGAAAGGAAGAACAGTTAACCCAGAATGGGGAAAAGAGAGGAAGGAGGATGGAGAGGAACTCCAAGAAGAGAAGACACAGGGCTCAGTTTGGGACTAGCCTTTAACAGCAACTGTTTTCCATTTCAAGCCTTCTAAGTTGCTCCATGACCTTGGAAGGTAACTGCCAGCTTTTTAGAGTGTTATAATAATGTATACCTACATTGTAGGTATGCATAAAAACTGCCCAGTGGCAGACAAAAACAAGGCATACTGCTTTTCATACATACCTCATATTTCATGGTAAAAAATCCATCCCCTCCAATGCCCTCAAGTGCAAAGGCCTGTACAATTGGCCATTTCTCCACCACAAACATATCAAATATCTGCAAGTGACCTAGAGGAATCAAATACAACAATGCATATCAAATACCATCCTTGATATAACAGTCTAAACCTGATCTAATGTAGTTAGACAGGGATCATTTCTCATAAGTTCATTAGGACCTCATCTTGCAAAATAAAATTCAAACAGATAAAATGGTTAGATATCGAAACTAGAAATACAATATGAAAGCCAAGGAAAATTCAAACCATAAACAAGTTACATAAATTCAGATTTCTCTACAGGATATTTTCACAATTCGGTTTCCTAAGTAAGTAATTAAGTAAAAAAATAAATGAGTAAATAGTAGTCTATTACATCTGGCTTGCATCATTTACTGGGTACAATTATTAACAGACCCAAACTTGGCTCCTCTCCCTTAAGAAACAGAGCCAATCAACTTCCTCAGGGGAAAATTACCAAGACAAAAATTTTTCCTTTCTGGTAACAATAGCTTTGAAGTGCAAGGGCTTTTTTATTTTTGTTACAAAATAAGCTCTGCTAAATCTGTTGCATTCTTCCTGTATCGTACACATCATTTTGGAACCTCACTGTCAGCATGTTTTTTTAAAGCTATCCAAATTATTATTTCTTATTACCAAGAGGCCGTATATTTAAACTCTATGTACAGTAAGTGATATAGACTAGATGTCAATTGTGCTAAATCTCTTAGTTCTTCTACCTGACCATAGCTGGCCTGCTGCAGAAACTACACAATTATGACTACAAGCTTGCATAGGAAAGTTCCCAAGTTTCATTCTGCTTGATGGCTTGCCTTTAGCAAAAATGGAACAAGGGATTTCCCAGCTGAATGCCTCCAGTGAAAGGAGAAATAGGGAGATTCAATTCATACACCATCCAAGAAACGTGCTTAAATGGGTTGCTGTCAGATACTCACCTTGAGAGCTGTAAGGTATGCCAATTCTACTACAGTCTCGAACCATATCCACAAAGCTGGCAATTTTAAATTCTTCTGCAGCTTCCTCATCTTCATACTAAAGAAGAGAATTAAAAGGAAAACAGTCTCTGCTAAGATGTTCTACAAAGTCTCATATTTTGTCTGTATTTTAATAAGAGTTGTCTCAAATGACATTTATAGGGACTACACCCAAGTGGTTGTTTCCAAAGCCAAACTTTTGTACTTGTTGGTCAGAAACACTTGTCATTCCCTTATCTCTATCGTGCACAAAATGGATCAGGAGACCTAAATGCATTAAATAAAACTTGTCCTCAAAACTCCCTCAAATGTTCACATGGAAAGAAGGGCTCTTGACCACTATCAGGGACATGACTTCCATAAAATCTCAAATCTCAAATCCCAATTTGATTTCCAGCCAAACCCTTGAAAAGGGCCCAAAGGGAAACAGAAACAGATACCACAAAATCTAAACATGGGAATATCACAAAGCTTAAAAATTCTCCTAGGGCAGTCCCTAGGCACTAGTCCCCTGAGAGATGGGGCTCAGACTGGTGATAAAGCAGTGGGTAGGAAGGGGGGTTCACAAGCCTGCTACTAGGGCCATAGCCCCGTCTTGTCTCCTTCAGGCACTGAATTTATAAGGCAGCCTCATAATGAAATATGAAACTTTCTACTTCAAACAAATAACTTTTTTTGTGCAACCACACTCTGTAATTTGATTTTTTTTAGGGGCCTCCTGTTCTAGATCAACACTTTCCTTAAAGAGTATATTCTCTGAGTATATCTAAGTACTTATTCTATCTTTTCTTCTCACCTCATTTTCTGTCATGCAGTGGAAATGCAGATTTCTCCAATGTGCCACATAGGGTAAAAGATAGCGATAGTTTACAGGATTACAGTACAGATGGACACTATCTGATTTAATCAATATAATTACATCTGTAAGAAAAACAAAATCAAAACATAAGACTGTCAAAGGCATTTCCTTTAGACAATTTCTGCCCACATAATTAGTAAAACCATTAAAACTACTTCAGCAACAATGTTACAAAACTTTAAACTGAAAATTATTTAATTAGGCAATACGCTTGTATTAGTCCATTTGTGTTGCTTATAACAGAATACACGGAACTAGGTGATTTATAAAGAAAATGAAATTTATTTGCTTACAGTTTCTGAGGCTGGGAAGTCCAAAGTCCATCTGGTGGTGGCAATAGCCACCCAGGTGTCTCACATTGCAAGACGGTGGAAGCAGAGAGAGCAGAGAGAGAGAGACAGACTCTCCTCTTCTTTTAAAGCCCTCAGACCCACGCCCCTGACCACCATTTTTAATCCATTCACTACTGCACAGTCCTGCAATCCAATCACCTCTTCAAGGCTCCACCTTTCAATTACCATAGTAGGATTTCCCACCCTCTTAACAGTCACAGCGGGGGCTAAGTTTCTTTTTTTTTTTTTTTCTTTTAAAGATGACTGGTAAGGGGATCTTAACCCTTGACTTGGTGTTGTCAGCACCACGCTCACCCAGTGAGCTAACCGGCCATCCCTATATGGGATCCGAACCCGGGGCCTTGGTGTTATCAGCACCGCACTCTCCCGAGTGAGCCGCGGGCCGGCCCTAAGTTTCTAATACATAAAATTTGGGGGACACAATTCAAGCTTCAGGGAGTTTGGGGGGGACATAATTCAATCCACTACAGTTAAGTTTCTAATACATAAAATTTGGGGGACACAATTCAAGCTTCAGGGAGTTTGGGCGGGACATAATTCAATCCACTACAGTGCTTGACAGTGACTTTAGAACCTTCAAGCACCGACAGCAAGGATTTCCTAGCGTCCACGCAAGCAAGGATTTCCTAGCGTCCATGCAATGCTCCCATACTATGCCCTTCTGGTATGGCAATACAAGCACAGAATAAGTCATAAGAAAAGCCTTCACCTACTGAAGCATGGTGTTCAACATAGTCAAGTCTGTGGTACTAAACACAGCTGTGTATTTCACTGCAGAGATAAATACCAAATGGAAACTCCACAGCCTAAATCCACTAAGGCAGAAAAATAGAACTAAATATGTCCAGTAACTAGTTCTCCCACAGACATCAGTGTCTAAAGCTCTTGGCTGTTGGCTTATCTGGCTCAAGGCAATTGTAGGCCCAACAGGATGCTGCTTGTCAGCTTTGACAAGGGTTACTGTGTATAGTGGTGAACTCTGTACAAGGAAAGACTGGGAGGAAGGAAGTAGAGGCAAGTGGAAAAGGCTTCTGTAAATAGATCAGCAGCTCACAGATTTAAGAAATAGCCATCAATGGTTATAAGTAAAGCATGCCTAAAGGTACAAATAAACCCAGGTAAACAGAAGAGCCATGGAATGGGGCAGGAATTTTAAAGCAGTTTGAACACTGAGAATGAAAGCAATCATACTTCCAGAAAAAGAACAGAGGCTCCATTCCATGGCTCCTAAGAAACCAGAGCCATTAGACCTCCCTCTAACAAGATGAAGCTAGAAGCTGCTGGAAGAGGTAGCTGGCTCTAAGAAAGGCACATGGGGGAGGGGAGCATCAGACGCAGCAGGTTTAGGGTAATGCCAACACAGTAATATAGTATAACATACCATGTTTTATGAAAATATATTATAAACTCAATAAATACTGACCACAGATGACCACACAGCTAGGTAGACTCCTGAAATAAAGCTCCATGATTCTGGCCTTTTAAGCCACTCTGAGCTCCATACCTGGTTAGGCCCAGAGTTTCTAGAGAATAAAGTACATAGCAGCCTCTTCACAGTTGATTCTCAGGCAAGCACTAGAGTCAAATGATAGTAAAGGGTGGAAAAGGAGGGCCCCCTCTCATCTCTCAGAATACTGGTCTTCCTCACACACCCCTTCCAAAGAGCCCTGTCCTGAATCAGTTTTAGACTACCCGCTTATGAGAGTTTGATGTCACCTGGAAAGAATGGGGGCTTCTGGTGTATATTATACTACACTAAAGTGTAACGTACTGTGAAGAATTAGTATCTAATAAAAGATGTAACACAACAGCTACTAGACCTAATTAAGCATTCTCAGAATCTCACAGGACTCTGATGTCACCATTATGAACAAAAGTTTAACAAAGTGTACAGACAGGTTAAAGAAGAAAGCATATGGGCCGGCCCATGGCTCACTCAGGAGGGTGTGGTGCTGGTAACACCAAGTCAAGGGTTAAGATCCCCTTACCAGTCATCTTTAAAAAAAAAAAAAGAAGGGGCCGGCCCGGTGGCGCACTGGAGAGTGCACCGCTTGAGAGTGCGGCGGCGCTCCCGCCAAGGGTTCGGATCCCATGTGGAGACCGGTTCCCACTCACTGGCTGAGCATGGTGCGGGAGCAACACCGAGGGTTGCGATCCCGTTGCCGGTCCCCGGTATGGGCACGACATCGAGGGTTGCGATCCCGTTACCGGTCAGTAAAAAAAAGACAAAAAGGAAAAGAAAAAAAAAAAAAAAGAAGAAGAAGAAAGCATATGAAAATAGGGATAAATACGTGAACTATTTTAAAAGTTTCTTTTTAAAATAAATCCCCCATGTTGGCCTTTTTTTCCTCTCATATAATCAGAGATTGAAATGTGGAAGCATATAAGGCTAGTGATTTCAGCTTTGTAACTTCTTGGATTTAAAAATGAATTTATTAATTTGGAAGAAAATGCTCATTTCCTAAGCACACATTGTGCCAAGTGACAAGATAAACACAAAGATAAGCAAAAAAGCACATCTCTGAGGATTTAAACTATTCCTTAATTTCAATACTGTAACATCCTTAGCAACCTTGGCTGCAGTGAAATTATGTGGCTGCTACAAACTGCCAGGATTATTTCTTTCCAAACCAGCAGATGCTGTACAGTATAAGGAAAAATTGTTTTAAATCAAAATCTGAAACCAAATTTGAATTGAAAAAAATATAACGGAAGGAATAATTTCAGTCTACTCTTTCTGGACTCCCTAACAAAAAGGAAAGGTTTAATCAACGTATAAAAATTAATACATTTATGGACTTTACCGCAGAAGAATTTTCACATATATTAGACCAGGGTTTCTCAACCTCGGCACTACTGACAGTTTAATTCTTTGTTGTGGGTGACTGCCTTATGCACTATAGGATGTTTAGCAACATCCCTGGCCTCTGTCCACTAGATACCAGTAGCATCCCCTGCCCAGTTTTGACAACCAAAAATATCTTCAGACATTGCCAAATGTCCCTGGGGGGACAAAACTGCCCCCAGTTGAGAACCATTGCACTAGACCCACAGCAACATTATTTCACATCAGATGTTTGCTTTTGTACTTCCCCCAGCTGCCTCACAAGAGCGGTCTGTCTCTTGTCCAGCTTTATTTGTCTATTTCTGTGTCTCCTGACCCATCTGGCAGACAAGTCATGATGTTAAGTATGTGATATCAGAGATAGCTCCTGGGCAACAGCCCACAGCAGCATCAACACAGGCAGAGTGTCTCAGAGCTGAGGAAAGGGAACGTAAGCAGAAAGCCTGCATTGTACTCAGAGGCATCATCATGAATTAAAGTCACATAGAAAACAATTCCCAGAGACAGCAGGACAAAGAGCCTTTGTTCATCAGCTGAAGATCCACATGAAGTCTTTCTTGCAGGAGTAACCTACAGGGTCATCCTTGCTTCACAAATGAAAGTGTATTCACAGGACAACAACACATAATCTGAAACCTTCAGCGTGAAGAGGCAGTGGGCAATTAAGAGGAAAGCCAGTACCTTGCTAACAAGAAATAAAGCCAAACACTGATGTTTATACTTTTTTCCCTAAAGCTGATTAACCCAGCAAATATATTCTGAAAATTACTATTGCTAGTTTCTTATCATCCAGCAGGTGACCAACAGGAGCATATTACTTAATATATCAGCAATGAATAAATGCTATTTTCATTATTAAAAGAGCAAAAATTCACTGGGGCTTTGGACTATTTTAAATTTGATCATATTTTCCCATAAAAAGACCATGAAATAAGGATACAAAGAAATAAACAAGCCAGACCTCTCTCGCACAGAATTTACCATTATGTACTTACCATCTAGAACTTCTTCAGAAAATCCCGTTTTCTCAAAATCACTAGTATTCTGATTGTACAAACCAAACAGAAGATAATTTGCCAGCTCTCTGCAGCCTTCATTGTACCTGCTATCGATTCCTGTGAGGCAAAAAAGGATCTGATCAGCTGTACTGTTCTAAGGGGAGCAAATGAGTCCCAATAATTTGCCCCTACTCAGCAAAACTGTGATGGTCAAGTTAAAGGCAGCAGCTCAGACCAGTTTTGTGCCAGAAACCAAACTAAGCAACTCTCTGTGAAAGAAACAGGCCTCGGCATCGGGTACCCTAACTTGGATTCCAAGATCTATATAGGTGAAACAATCAAACAGCACAGATTATTGAGGCTGTTAATCTCTGAAAATTGGAATACTTTCAACTGGCCTAAGAATAGGGGTCAGAAAAATATTCACTTCTCAAAGAGATCTTTACCAAAACATGTGGGATCAAATAAAGGCAGATTAAGGTGATTTGAAAAGATCCCAAAGATGTGAAAAAGAAGACAAGTGACTGGAACCACAAACACCCATCATTTCACAAATACAAGGCTCAAGGCCTAGCACTATACTGGATACTGGGGTATGCTGGTGAACATGTCTGCATATGGCCCTCATGAAGCTTACAGTCTAGTGGGGCTGCCTCTCAATGCCTCAGGTATATATACTACCTGGTTCTTAGGTATCTGTGAAGTCCCAGACCTATGGCTTTGAACAAGAGAGAAGTGTCAAGGGCAGGACCTGCATATGGCCCTCATGAAGCTTACAGTCTAGTGGGGCTGCCTCTCAATGCCTCAGGTATATATACTACCTGGTTATTAGGTATCTGTGAAGTCCCAGACCTATGGCTTTGAACAAGAGAGAAGTGTCAAGGGCAGGAGGTAGGTGGAGGTATCTGTCTATGTCAGGCTAAGAGGAGGGGGGTGGGGCAAAAAGAAGCTCCAAGAATGGTATTGATAGACTGATATTTCATTCAAGTTCATTAAAACAGCAACAGATTTCAGGGGGATGAGAGCTAGGAAAAGACACTATTTCACAGCTTATCTCATGATGATACTATTACCACTTCCTGTGAACAAGAAATCAAGTTGTCCCAGCCTTGAGTCCCACCTTGTTAAAAGCACTGACCTAGGATGCAGAGGATCCCATCGGGCCGAGACTTGCTGCTCTGGGTCAGGATGCTCTGAACCTGGCGGAGTCGGCTGCAACTGCAACAAGAACAGAAACAGTTTCCTGAGTGCCAGCACAGCCCCAGGAGAATAGCAACATGTCGTGTGAGTGTACTACAATGAAGGCATGAGGAAAAGAAATCACTTTGCTAAGGACAGAAATTGGTGCTTGTCTGGTTCTGGTAAAGGAACCATAAAATGAATTGGGAAGGGTCCCCATCTCTTCCATATTCTGGAAGAGATTATGTAGAATTGGTCTGAAGACAAAGTCTGGACTGTTGATTATGAACTGGATGGTAAGTGGCTCTCTGGCTCAACAAAGGACGTAGCCAAAGGCCCTCTCATGGTCAATACTGGAAAGGACTGAGACTCAGCAGCTGATTCCAAGAACTTCCAATGACTTCTCATTTTTGAGGATCCAAAGAAGAGTTTCTACACTATTTGCCATAACTGTGGTCCTTATCAGTCTGTCTCAAAAACAAAAACAAACAAAAAACACACAAAAACCAAAAATTGTTCCAAGGACCTAAACAAAGCTCTAATTCATCCCCATAGTTACCCCTGTGGAGAGTGTCAGCAGAGGATACTTGCTCCCATTTCTATGCAAGTCTGTTATTCCTTCAGCCCTATATCCCCTTGCTCTCAAGCAAAGTGAGAGGAGAAGCACTCTCAGACATTAATATTATTTCTAAGGATCCATTTTCTCCATATCCACTCCCTCCTCCTTCCTAGAAGCCCCAAAGAGAGGTGCCCAATTTCCTACTCAAGACTGATCTTTCTACCTGGTCTCCCCATCATTTCCAGGTCCAGGATCTGCCTCTACTATTCATTCTCTAATACTCTTATATTTAATCTTCTCCCTACAGTCAATATAGTCCCAGCCCTACCACATCATCGTTAACTAAGATCCTCCACAAACCAACAACACTAACTGTTCTATCCATGACAATCAGGCTTCATCTCTACCACTTACTGAATCTGCTCCAGTACACTTCCCTACCCTCACCCAAACAATAGTATTTCCAGCCAAACAACACTATTTCCCTTCCCTAATTCCCTGAACTCCTTTGCCCCACTGGATTCTTTTTGACATTCCACAACCGAACTCATTCACCCCATGACTTAGTGGTCATTATCACTGTCTTGCATCAAGACTTTCACAATCTTCCAAGTGATACCAAAACTAGACAAAGACAGTACAAAAAAAGAAAAAAACCTACAAACCAATATTCAACATGAATATAGATGTAAAAACCCTTAACAAAATATTAGCAAAGAGAATTCAGCAACATCTGAAAAGAATTATATACCATGACCAAGTGGAACTTATCCCAGGGATACCCAAGGCTGATTCATTATGCATAAATCAATCAATGTAATATATCATATTAATAGGCTAAAGAAGAAAAATCACACAACCATATAAGTGATGCAGAAAAATCATTTGACAAAATTCAACCCTCATTCACAATAAAAACACTCAGAAAATGAGGAATAGACTAGTTTCCTCAACTTGATAAAGAATATCCAAAAAATCCTCCCAAGCAAAGTTTGGAATTATATGTAATTGTAAAGGACCAAATTTTTTCCTCTAAGATCAGGAACAAGGTAAGGATGTCTGCTCTCATCACTCCTATTTAACATTAATACTGGAAGCTCTAGCCAACAGAATAAGGCAAGAGAAGGAAATAAAAAGCATATAGATTAAAAAGAAAGAAAACTGTACTTATTTGCACATATGGCCTATCCACAGATGACATGATGGTCTATGATGGTAGGGAACCTCAAGGAATCTACAAAAGAAATCCTAGAACTAATAATTGAGTTCGACAAGACTGCAGACACAAGATCAACATACAAAAATTATTTGTAATTCTATATGAAAGTAATGAATACACGGAAACCAAAATTTAAAATACAATACCATTTATAATCTCTCAGAAAATGAAATACTTAGGTATAAATCTAATAAAACATGCAAAAGACTTACATGCTAAATACTACAAAACACTGAAGAAAAAAATTAAAGATATAAATAAATGGAGTGACATACCATGTTCACAGACTGGAAGTCTCAACATAGCACAGATATCAATATTTAAACTGATACACAAGGGTACTTCATAAAGTTCATGGAAAGATTCATACTATCTTTTAATTCTATTTTTTCACAAATTTTTTGAAGTACCATCATACAAGTCTGACATAATTCCTATCAAAATCCAAAATTTTTTGTAGATGTAGAAAAGATTATTCTAAAATTTATATGGAAAGGCAAAAGACCTAGATTAGCTAAAAAAAAAAAAAAATGTTGAAAAAGAAAAATAAAGTGAGAGGAATCACTCTACCTGATGTCAAAACTTATTACACAGCTAAAGTAATCAACACTGAGTGGTATTAGCTGAGGGGCAGACACAAAGAACAATGGAACAGAATACAGTAGCCAGAAATAGATCCATACAAGTACAGCCAACTAATTTTTAACAAAGGTGCAAAAGCAATTCAATGGAGGAAGAATAATTTTTTCAATAAATGGTGCAAGAGCAACTGGATATCCATAGGCAAAAACATGAACCTAAACCTTATACCTTATACAAAAATTAACTCAAAATAGATTGCAGATTTAAATGTAAAATGTAAAACTATAAAATCCTTTAGAAGAAAATACTCAGTATCTAGGGTTTGGTGAAGAATTCTTAGACTTGACACCAAAAAGTGTGACCCTCAAATGAAAAAAAACTATGGGGATGGCCAGTTAGCTCAGTTGCTTAGAGTACAAAGTTGTAAATACCAAGATCAAGAGTTTGGATCCCTGTGCTGGCCAAGCACCAAAACCCAAAAACAAAACACAAATAAAAAAACAAAAACAAAACACACACACAAAAAACACAAATAAAAATAACTTGAACTTCATCAAAATTTTAAACCTTTGCTCCGTGAAAGACTCTGTTGAAAGAATGAAAAGACAAGCTACAGACTGGGAGAAAATATCTGCAAACCACATATCTGAAAAAGGACCACATGTAGAATACATAATGAATTCTCAAAACTCAACAATAAAATATGAACAATCCAATTATAAAATGGGCAAAAGGCATGAGGAAATAATTCAACACAGAGGATACAAAAATGGCAGATAAGCACATGACAACGTGTTCAACATCATTATCCGTTAGGGAATTGCAAATTAAAACCACAATGAGATATTACTACACATCTATTAGAATAGCTAAAATGAAACACAGTGACAATATCAAATGCTGGTGAGGGTTCAGAGAAACTGGACCAGTTATACATTCCCAAAAGAAATTACAGAAGACAACAATAAATGGAAAGACATCCTCTGTTTGTGGATTGGAAGACTTAATATTGTTAGGCTGAAATATTGTTAATCAAAGCAATCTACAGATTCAGTGCAGTCTTTATCAAAATCCCAACGATGTTTTTTGCAGAAACAGAAAACTCCATCCTAAAATTCATATGGAATCTCAAGGGACCCCAAATAGCCAAAACAGTCTTGAAAAAAAAAAAGAACAAAGTTGGAGATCTCACAATTCCCTATATCAAAACTGACTATGAAGCAACAGTGTAATCAACAGTGTGGTACGGGCATAAGATAGACATACAGACCAATGAAACAAAATGAGAGCCCTCACATATACAATCAAATGATTTTTTGACAAGGATGCCAAACTGTTCCATGAGGAAGGACACTCTTTTCAACAAATGGTGCTGGGAAAACTATCCACACACAATAGAATGAAGTTGTGATATAGGAGGTGCTCAGTTTCCCTGGGCTGTGATTACAGGACATGCCTCTGGGTTTCAAGTCATTTGCCAAGGTCTCAGGCCCCTCTTAGTGGCCCTCCCCTAGAGGAAAGCTACTGTTGCCAGTTAGACCTATTTTCAGCACCAACACAGGGAAAATGAGACCACAAGGGACTGGCTTATGCAAAACCAGTGGCTGGGCATGCTCAGTACAGAGGGGTTATATAACCCTGGTAGCTGAATGACCTTCCACTAGAGGTGCTAGAGAGCACAGAATATTCTTGAATATGCCTGGGGTATGTGACAGGATTTTACCAATGAACATGCTCCAAGAAAACAACTGAGCATGTGCAAGGCTATTTTACATAACTGAGAACCACCCTCTTCATAGAATATTCATTAGGCAACAAAACTATAAAAGCCAATTCACAGCAGAAGGCAGGGCTGTTGCTCACTCTCCTGGAGCCAGCCCACACTCTGCCTGTAGAGTGTGTATTTCTTTCTTTTTGTATCAAACTTACTTTCAGCAAGCAGCTTATCATTCTCTTGAGCCAGCCTGTACTCTGTACTGAACTTTAAGTATGTATTTCTTACTTGAGTATTAAACTCAGGGCCCTGCTCAGTCTCTGAAGCTATGCTGCACTCTCTCTGTGAAATCTGTATCTCTAATTCATTATGTTAATTAAACTTGTTCTCATTTTGTACCGTGACTCTGCTCTTGAATTCTTGCCTGTGGCAGAGTTAAGAACCTGGTAAGAGGACAGAGTGGGTTGCAGCCAACTGTTGGACCACCTAGACCCTACTTCTGACATCAGTTGGATCCTTACCTTATATACACAGAATTAACTCAAAATGGATCAAACACCTAAATATAAAACTAAAACTATAAAACTTTTAAAAGAAAACCTAAGGGAAAATCTTCATGACATTGGATTTGGCAATGATTTCTTGGATATGACACCAAAAGCACAGGCAACAAAAGGAAAAACAGACAACTTAGATTACACCAAAATTAAAAACTTCTGTGCATCAAAGAACACAATCAACAGAGTGAAAAGGCAACTCACTGAATGGAAGAAAATTTTTGCAAGGACGTATATTACAAGGGGTTAATAGCCAGACTATATGAAGAACTCCTGTAACTCAACATCAAAAAATAATCTCATTAAAAAATGGGCAAAGAACTTGAATAGATATTTCCCCAAAGAAGATATACAAGTGGCCAATAAGCCTATGAAAAGATGCTCAGCATCACTAATCATTAGGGAAAT